TTCATGAACGTGTTTCCATAATAATACAATCATGAGTGGATACAATAAACACATAAAACAGTTCAACATGGAGATAGATGGAAACAAAAACCGAAGTTTTCTACTACCCCCGTTTTCCCCTCAACACATAAGTGTGTAATTTACTCAAATGCCTTTCCTTTCATATATTTAAAATGACTTGCAGATTTATAACTTTATTACCTCTGAAGACATTTTGACTGTAAACAAAAGATTTGTGCGGCTGATGCTCCTTTGGTTATGAACAGCTCGTGCAAGCGTGCGTGTGGTCCATGAGCGTGCACACCTCTGGTTGCAGTTTCGCTTGTCGCCAGAGGGGGCGTAGTTCTGCAAAAACTCAGAGACTTGCGCAATGCACCTTTAATTAAAAAAATGAGGAAAAATCCAACCTTTAAGGACACCAATTTTGTTTGTGAATGAATAATGTATCGTAAATAAATAAATGTTCTTCCTTAAAATACAGGGGTCATAAGTCAGGACACCCCTGTGTTAAATTCCCATAGAGGGGCCGATTTTTATTTTTAAAGGCCAGTTATTTCATGGATCCGGGACACTGTGCATCCTGATAAAGTTCCCTCGGCCTTTGCAATTAAAATATCCCCACATCATCACACACCCTTCACCACACCTAGAGTCGGCATGGTTTTAAGTCAGTTAGCCTAATAGCTGGTTTGATTTGCATTGAGAGATGATCTTATGGAAATACCCCATGCCAACTCTAGGTTGATTAAGTGAGGTCTTTATACACCACTGAAGACATAGTTATGTATATGATATTACATTTCTGTCAACAGATGCTCCTAAATATTACACAATGCACCTTTAATAGGGAAATCTCAGTCAAAATAAGGTGTTTTGCCAGATTCTATGCATCATCTTTTTACTATTTTAATTGATTTTACTCTAATTAACTGTATAATTTATCTCCTTTAATTCCTTTTATAACTGCTTTAATTCCCCCTGCTTTTATTTTGTGTCTATTTTCTATGAATTGCTATAGTGTGATTATTATAATTACTTTCTATGTAAAGCTGTTTGAATTTTCCTTGCTTTTATTTTGTGATTATTTCCTCTCTATGTAAAGCACTTTGAATTGCCATAGTGAATGAAAGGTGCTATATAAATAAGCATGCTGTTCTTGTGCGCAGTGAAGCTGCTAGTTCCCTGGGCTGAAGTGACGCGGTTGGAACGCGTGTCGGTGGGTTTGCTGACGGACGTGATCCGCGTTCACACGAGACGGAAACAGAGGGAGTTCTCCATGTTTCTGGAAGTGGACGAGGTGATGAAGGTCATGTGTCAGCTGGCTGATATCGCCCTTCGTCGACTGCTGGACAGTGGAGGACTCACGCTCGACCAATCGCTGCAGGAGTCCACAAACATCACCAAGAGGTTAGCTTGGCACACATTGCACATGTACAGTGGGCTCAAAGTCTGAAATCACAGTGACAATCTGATTTAAAATCACCATGAAATCAAAATTGACAGATTTTTCATGTAATATTGGTGTATTTATTACAAAATTATTATGCACATATTTTTTGTGCCTTGTAATCTTGAATCTAAATAACTTCCCCTCCCTCTTTTCTTCTCTGATGATGTGGGTGAGGGCAACCTGTCACTCACATGAGATCCACCAATAGCAGACCACAACCATCCAATCAATTCCCCACAGACAAAATCAAGCCGTTTCACTTGAATATACGACACAACACGAAAAAAAAAAACATTGAAATTTACGTTTCATGCCGACTTGGAAATAAACTAAAGTTTTAGAATTTTTAAACATTGATATAAAATTAATATATTTTTTTTGATATTCTGAATGTGTGACATTTGGGCTGGGTGATGAACCAATATTTATCAGGAAAAAAGAATAATATTAAGAATATTAAGAATAATAAAAACTGAAATGTTTTTGACAGAAATATATTACTATTGTATAGTAAAATGTACATTTTAAAGTAATAATAATACATAATAATATAACAATTTATTAAAACATTACATTAATTTATTATTATACAAATATTTCATTATTATTATACAATTTATTAAGATATTTCATCATTTTTTAAAGAAATGTCATATAAACAAGCTATGTTTTTCATTCATGTTTTAATTTATACAGTTGATATCTTATTATATAGCTTAATTTGTGGAGTTTACTTGTAAACATAGCTTGTTTTTTAATATTAATTCTCTACCAAGTACCAAACGCTACCGAATGCATTTCCTTTCCCAGTAACGGTATGAAATAAATATCATGATAAATATCAATATTTAATGATATGGAAAAAGATATTGTAATTTAGTATTTAAGGCCATATGGCTTCAGAGAGACCGTGAACCATCTGTTGTATCGGCCTCATTTAAATATTACCTTCCATCCAGCCAATCATCAGCAGAGTTTTGATACTAATATACTTCCTCCTCTAAAGGGGAAGTTCATGTGTGAGAAAGACAGTGAAAACAAGTAAAGCGGAACTGAGGATGCCAGAAATATAGATGATGGTGGTTGTGATTAAAGTGCTGGTGGTTAAAGTGTCTTCTGCTGTTTCTTAGTGATTGAGATCAGCAGTTGCATTGAAGCTGTTAATGAGTGATTATTAAACGATAATAACAATAAAATGTATTTATATAGCACCTTTCTTACATACAATGCAGAACACAATGCATAAACATCAAATACATCATGCATAAAAACAAGTAAAAATAACAACGTAAACGCATGGAATACAATATGTCAAGTCAGGTTTATTTCTATTGTGCTTTACACTATAAAGATCGTTTCAAAGGAGCTTCACAGTAATAAAAGGGAAAATAATGATCAATAGGGATGGGAATTGATAAGATTTTATCAATATCAATGCCACTAACGATTCTGCTTATCGATCCGATTTTTTAACGATTCTCTTATCGATTTCTGATAACACTGTGTGGAAGTAGTCATACAACAATGAGTCGAACAAGTGGTTTTATTTGTTTTAAAGCTTAAAACTGTACTTTTTATGTAATGTATGTAATAAATGGAACCTTATTGTAAAGTGTTACCGATTAGTTATACACTGATTAAACGTCCCGTGAGTTCAGTGTTGGAAAGAGAAGTTGTTACCATTCATTAAAACGAATCGGTTCAAATGAGTCATTAGTTCGCGAATTGGACGTGTCATTATCGGACGTGTGCGCGTTGTGTGATTATCCCGGCGCGTTGGGACATCCCACAAGACGTGTGTGTCATCACAGAAAACATTTCATCAATGGATAGTTCCCGTCCAAAGGACTTTACATCTGAGGCGCTTAAAGACTCCATTTGTCCATTATTTATTTTTAAAGAAACACGACAATGTATAAAAGGCTCCATTACCTCCTATGTTACGTTATGGCCCCGTAGAAACAGATTTAGTAAAAATAGGCTAACGATTGCGTCATAACCACTCGACTCTCTGTCGCGCTGTACAGAAGTTACCGTACAGACAGGAGGAGAAGCTCGCGCGCAATCGGGGGGACGTGGAGGAATAAAGTCAAGGGAGAAGCCCATAGAGCTCATGGACAGCTAATACTCACGATCTCCGGCGGCTCTGCAAGTTTCGGAAGGGAATGATTCAGATTCCTCTTGACACAGCTACTAGAAGATTAACGTCTGTCAGACAGGTTGCTCACGTCATCAAGCTTAGTTTGAGTCGGTTTGAGTCTGCGCGTCAGGAACGGAAGTGCTCAAAAATCGCTAAAAATGGGCTTCAACTGAGTTCCAATGAGATGGCTCTGTCCATTTCTTTTACTGTCTATGCTCAGGCTGCGCTGCGGCAACTGCACATCCAATGGCGCGGGCGCCTCTGACGTGCGACCAATGAGCCAACTCTACGTCATTACACGTCAGCCCGTCAAGGGGGCGCCAAGTCCCCGAATTTGCCATTATAGCAGCGGGTCTTCGTTCATTCATCATAGTCTGTCTGGCATATATATTAGAAGCTATGCGTCTGTCATGGATTTGCACTGAGTTGATTCTCAAAAATACGGAACAAAGTGCGTTCCGTATCAGTTCAATACGGAACAAGCCTTTTATGTGTCAAATACGGAACGATTCCGTATTATACGGAACGGTTGGCAACCCTAGAGATGAGACACATTCAAATTCAACTGTAAAGCAGGTTTTAAAAAACTATTGTCATTATTCAGCTTGATTCAGTTCAGGGTTGATTCAGTTCAGGGTTGATTCAGTTCAGTGTTGATTCAGTTCAGGGTTGATTCAGTTCAGGGTTGATTTAGTTTAGGGTTGATTTAGTTCAGGGTTGATTCAGTTCAGTGTTGATTCAGTTCAGTGTTGATTCAGTTCAGGGTTGATTCAGTTCAGTGTTGATTCAGTTCAGGGTTGATTTAGTTCAGGGTTGATTTCAGTTCAGGGTTGATTCAGTTCAGGGTTGATTTAGTTAAGTGTTGATTTAGTTCAGTGTTGATTCAGTTCAGGGTTGATTTCAGTTCAGGGTTGATTCAGTTTAGGGTTGATTCAGTTCAGTGTTGATTCAGTTCAGGGTTGTTTTAGTTCAGGGTTGATTTAGTTCAGGGTTGATTTAGTTCAGTGTTGATTTAGTTCAGTGTTGATTCAGTTCAGGGTTGATTTAGTTTAGGGTTGATTTAGTTCAGGGTTGATTCAGTTCAGTGTTGATTCAGTTCAGTGTTGATTCAGTTCAGGGTTGATTCAGTTCAGTGTTGATTCAGTTCAGGGTTGATTTAGTTCAGGGTTGATTCAGTTCAGTGTTGATTCAGTTCAGTGTTGATTCAGTTCAGGGTTGATTCAGTTCAGTGTTGATTCAGTTCAGGGTTGATTTAGTTCAGGGTTGATTTCAGTTCAGGGTTGATTCAGTTCAGGGTTGATTTAGTTCAGTGTTGATTTAGTTCAGGGTTGTTTTAGTTCAGGGTTGTTTTAGTTCAGGGTTGATTCAGTTCAGGGTTGTTTTAGTTCAGGGTTGTTTTAGTTCAGGGTTGATTTAGTTCAGGGTTGATTCAGTTCAGGGTTGATTTCAGTTCAGGGTTGATTTCAGTTCAGGGTTGATTTCAGTTCAGGGTTGATTTAGTTCAGGGTTGATTTAGTTCAGGGTTGATTCAGTTCAGGGTTGTTTTAGTTCAGGGTTGTTTTAGTTCAGGGTTGATTTAGTTCAGGGTTGATTCAGTTCAGGGTTGATTTCAGTTCAGGGTTGATTTCAGTTCAGGGTTGATTTCAGTTCAGGGTTGATTCAGTTCAGGGTTGATTCAGTTCAGGGTTGTTTTAGTTCAGTGTTGATTCAGTTCAGGGTTGATTCAGTTCAGGGTTGTTTTAGTTCAGTGTTGATTCAGTTCAGGGTTGATTCAGTTCAGGGTTGTTTTAGTTCAGTGTTGATTTCAGTTCAGGGTTGATTTCAGTTCAGGGTTGATTTCAGTTCAGGGTTGATTCAGTTCAGGGTTGATTCAGTTCAGGGTTGTTTTAGTTCAGTGTTGATTCAGTTCAGGGTTGATTCAGTTCAGGGTTGTTTTAGTTCAGTGTTGATTCAGTTCAGGGTTGAATCAGTTCAGGGTTGATTCAGTCCAGGGTTGATTTAGTCCAGGGTTGATTCAGTTCAGGGTTGATTCAGTTCAGGATTGATTCAGTTCAGGTCAACGGTTACAATAACTTCAAAATAGAATACTAAGAAAAAGTTGGGGTAAAAATACAAATTTAAAAAAATACTGAGTGAACCGTCCTTGAAATCTATTGGTGATGTATTCCATAATTTTAAAAGGCATAATTAAGAAAAGCTGAATCCCAAATTGTCTCTCGTCTGTATCAGGGAACCTCCAATAAACAGCATCATGAGTTGAGTGTTGTGTGATGTGTGTTTGTGGGTTGTGTGGTGTGTGTGAAAGCAGCAGGTGTGTATTTATAGAGCAGCGGGGTTTGTTCTCTCTCCGCTGCTTTGATGTTCGGAAACTCTCAGGTCTGTTGAGGTCTGATGCATGAAGCTACTTCCGTATAATGGTGTCGGTTTCAGGGTTTTGGAGGAACAGGCTCTCCGACAGTACGTGCTCTCCCTCTTTGGCTTGCCCCGGGCCGAGCGTGTACAGGAAGTGATGTCATGCTCGGTTTGGACTCCTCATGCCCGCTGCCACACGCCGGGCACCGTCTACACCACAGACGGGTATTTGTGCTTCAGTAGTCGTGAGGAGGGCCAGTGTACTCTCATCATACCCCTCGCAGAGGTACAACTCCATTACATGTCCTTCAGCTTATGAACTGCATGCTAACCATGTTAAAGGAATAGTCGCTTTGGATAAAAGCGTCTGCAAAATGCATGTAAATGTAGGAATAGGTCACCCAAAAATTAACATTCTGACATAATTTATGCAGACTGTATTATTTTAGTATTTTTGTGGAAGATGTTTAGCAGAATGTCAGTGCTGCTTGTTTCTACACAACTTTCAAGCTCCAAAAAAACGAAAAATGCACCATAAAAGTATAATATAAATGCCCTTTTGAACTTTTAATGATTCAGCTTATCTCTATTAGATTATTTCTATCAGATATTCTTTCTAATTCATTAATTACTCACTTTCTTAATTTGAAAGTGTTGTTTAGAGGTAATAAGCATGCATGTATAGCAAGCATGGTAGTGTTCATAAGTTGTAGCGATGCAGCGATTTATTTGTTTTCTCGATGCATCGATTACATATCCTGCTGATGCATATGCATCAATTTTGAATCATGTTTTTTCTTTTTCTTTTTCCAATTGTGAATCATTTATTTTCGTCAATGATTTAAAATTTCACTGGCATGATGTGGCATCTAAAGTTACAACCTTGCCATTTCCATCAGAAATAACTATATATATAAATATATTTAAATATACTTAAATATACTGTATATATTATGTAATATCATTATATATATATATTAAAATCTTGGTCATATCTAAATCTAATCAAATCTTTTTGTGAATCGAATCGTTCTAAATTTACATAAAACGTTCGGGAAATCGAATCGTGAATAATAATAATAATAAACATTTTATGTAGCACCATTTGTGGATAGAATGCAGCTCAAAGTTAAAAAGTTAGCATTATTTAAAAAAATATGAAGCAAACTGGCTTCCTTGATATCAGTTGGTATTGTATAAAAAATACTTGCGACTCAAACAATCACACCCCTACACATTTGTTTTGAAACATTAAGTATGTTTTACCTGTTTTGTTGAAGCTCACATGTGATGATGTATTAATGAAGTGTGTGTGTGTGTGTGTGTGTGTGTGTGTGTGTGTGTGCAGATCCTCTCCATTGAGAAGGCTGAGAGCACCAGCGCTCTGCCCAACCCCGTCATCATTAGCGTACGGTGTAAGCGTGCGTTCCAGCTAATCGAGCTGCTTCATCGTGACCGGCTGGTGGAGAACGTCAGAGGACGACTGCGTGATCTGCACTGGGAACAGAATCTGATACGTGGACACGACCAACGCAAGAAATCCACGGTACTCTTGACGCCTAATGGTTCGGTTTAGAGATGGACTAAAACTTTCTTTTTGTGTGTACCCTAGTTTAGTCTGTTAAAGAGGAACCTATTACGCCCTTTTTCAAAGTCTTGATTTTGTTTTTGAGCTCTAGAACAGGTTTTCCTGCTTGAATGTTGATTATTTTCCTCATATTCTCCATTGTTGCGGCTCCTCTCTTCCCAGTCTGTCAGTAACGCTCTGTTTAGTTCCTGTCTCTATGAAGCCCCTCCTTCTGAAAAGCACACTGTGCTCTGATTGGTCGGCTGGATCAGTGTGTTGTGATTGGTCGAGCGCTTCGAGTGTGTTTGGGAAATGTCCCGCCCCTTACCATAACCACCAGTTTAACACACTACTAACTCACTCAACCAGGCCCCGCCCCTTTATTCTGCGTATTAATTATTATAATGAGGAATATTGTGACATGTTCGTTCCCGGAAGAAACTCAAGACTACAATGGAGGCGTTTCAGGAGTTCAGAAACACTGACACATCTTTGCAGAGCTTTTTTTAATGCTCAAACTGCAACATTACACACTAAAGAAAGATGAACACGAAGAAAAGCAGAACAAGAGCCATTAAGAGATGTTAGTGAGATGCTCTTGAGCCGGGATGATACTCAATCATTGACATTTACAAACTGCCCTGTTCCTACTTCAAACCTTTGTACATATTAGAATAGGTCACTATATATAATTCATCAGTGCATGGAAGACATGATCACTCGTTCATCTCTGCACAGATACCTGCACATTTAGCAAATAAATATGTAAATTGACACTGTATATTTTAAAGGTTAAACAGTAAGTATTATTAACACCTATACTGTGATATTATGGTGAAACTGAATCACAATCATTTATTTAAAAATGTGTCTATTGTCAGAACATCACTTCCTGTGCATATTATGTATAAGCTATGTTTTCATAGCACAGTTGTTATGCAACATTAACTCTTTCCCCGCAAGCGTTTAAAAAAAAGTTGCCAGCATTTTAGATAATTTTCACAAAATGTTCATGCCTCCCAGAATATTTTGTTGTATGAATATCTGAACATGCAATATATCAAAAGGAAGTACATAGCATTTGCTTTTAAACAACTTTTATTTATTTATTCTAGCTTCATGCATTCTTTATCAACTAAGCTTCATAAAAAAGCAACAAAAAAAATATTTTTTGTCAAAGACTGCAACGTGCATAAGCAAAACTTTTATCACTTGTTTCTGCTTTTTTTCCTCCTGTGTTTTGATCCGGAGATTCTGTACTCTTTCATCACATGCGTTATACCGCCCCCTATTGAATAACAGTGGAAACACGGAAAGTCGGGAAAATAAAGAGTTAATTATGGCTGCGTCCGAAATCACATACTCTCTTCTTGAGTAGGTACTTGATTTGATTAAGTAATTATTAAACGACTGCTAAATAAAGTATGTTCTATATAGTATGAGAGTGTGTGTAGTGAATGTAATCTGGACATACTACATTCACCATGTTGTCATTATCATGTGACCTACCAGCGTCATTCACAAATCCTCTCCCGTGGCCTCATGGGATAGTAAAGTGTCCATCATATGCAAACTATAGAATCTCACTGGAAGTAGTAGATCATCCGGGGACTTTTTGCCTACTCTGTAATGAGTACTGTAGATTTGGACACACTAATTTCGTCACATACTGTTTTTTGCCTAGGGAGGTATGTGATTTCGGCTGTAGCCGATGTTTTAATCAAGTCAGCTTTATTTCTATACCTCATTATACAATATAGATTGTTTCATAGCAGCTTCACAGTAATAAACAGGAAAAATAACAGAATCAATGATTCAAACTTCATCAAATACGAGACAAATTCTGTGCCATTATTCAGTGTCATTATTCAGATCAGGGCCCGTATTTATCAAGCTCCTCAAAGTGCCATTTTAGTTTTAAGTGCTGAGAATTCATGAAATATACTCCAACTTTCAAACTTAAGTATAAAAGCAAGTTATCAAATTTCTTAAAGCTAAGAATCACTCTTACTCTCACAGTTAGGACAGCTCAAAGGGTCTCTCAAGTGGTTAGGAGTGACTAGCCGCATTTCCATTACAGATTTGCACAAAACTTTTGCGATATTTTCTAAATGACGGTGTTTCCATTAACCGATGTTATGCGACTAAAACATAAAAAAATTTTCCTCTCCCAATAAGTCATTCCAAAAATCATGGCAACGGATGTTGGTAGGTTTACGTATATCCCAGTAACTAGCCATTATTTTTAATAGGAGTCGTCGTAGGCGTGTTATTTTAATCTACTTTGGTATAACGTTACTATTTGTTTATTGTATTAACTTTTATGTATGCCTGTACGGTGACCTTGAGTGTCAGAAAGGCGCCTTTTAAATAAAATTTATTATTATTATTAATTATTATTATTATTATCCAAGCATTAATGGCAAGGAAAGCACATATGAGGTGTTTCTGGGTGTTTCTCCCTCATTTCTGCTTCAGATTCAACTTTATTGTCATTGCACAAGTAAGGACAACCAGCACAACGAAATGCAGTTGTTACATCTAACCAGTAGTGCAATCATTAAAGTGCTTTTGAATTTGAATTTATTGAAAAGATAACCCCTTGAGATGTAACATCTCATTTTCAAGGGGGTCCTAAAAACATAAGCAATATACAACACAAACAACATAAAACAAAAAAACATTACAAAACAAAACTACAAAAACAAATCCTTTCAATAAATTCAAATTCAAAGTGCTTTTCTTTTATAGCAGTGCTTAAAAAAATACATAAAAACACAAAATTTCTGCTTCAAGGTCTTGATAAATCATGGCATTTCCTTGTTGTTTAGAATCCAGAATCCAGTATTCCCGTAATACTTTTGTCTTTTATGTGTATAATGAAGAACCCTGTCTCGTCTTCTGTCCAAACATACAGCGTCATATACGTCAGGTGACCTGTTGTATTCATTTATTTTATTCATTATTCATTTTATGAACTGCCTGGAAAACCCTCTCATGCGAGCGTAAAAACTTTTTTGCGATATATGACGTGTTTCCATTGGGCGTATTTTCAATTCGCCATTTTAATTTGCACAATTTGAAGGGTAACCCGGCTAAAGACTTCGGGAGAGGAAGAATGTTTTTGACGATGAGCTGTTAATCATACGGTATCGTTTGGACAGAGCAGGAATCATCTTTATCAGCGCTGGTTAATGTTGGGCTGAACTTCCCTTTTATAACATGTTTCCGCTGTTCGACTAATTCAGCAAGCGCTTCTTCCTCCCACCAGTTCGGGTTTCTTTTGTAATCCACGGTGGCTGATTATATCATTAAAATCCAGGCCATTAACAGCACATCGGTTTAAAAATTGCAATTAAGACATTGTGGAAAACGTGTTTAGCTTTCATTTCCAATGTGTATTCTCTTGAAAATGATTTATTGTTGAATGTTAACTCTTGGGAATTTCACCATTCAATGTGAATTTATCTGAGAATGTTCTTAAATAAGGAAATCTATTCAGTGATTGGTCCAGCATCTAAAATGCCGTTTGTGGCACAGCAAAAGTCTGACACTTAAGATTTAGCCCTACACTTCACTTAAATTACGACTGATATGCTTGATAACGAACTTTCAAGCGCAGCTTTGAGCCAAGAATTATTTTACTCTTAAAGGGATAGTTCACCCAAAAATTTTAATTCTGTCAGTAATTACTCGCCCTCATGTTGTTCCAACGTCACACGCATCACACACATGACCAGCGTCGGCCAATAGTGAGCCTGTGTGTGACGTACAACCCAGAAGCGCTGCGCTGTTACACTACGTGAACTCACTCGAGGCCCACAGAGAAGGAAACGAAGAGTTGAATAAAGTCGTTATTTTTGTTTGTTTTTTGCGCACAAAAAGTATTCTCGTCGCTTGATAAACTTAAGGTTGAGCCACTGTAGTCACTCGGACTATTTTAACGATGTCTTTAATAACATTTCTGGGCCGGCCAGTTTCGATCCCTTAAGAAGCCTATGGAGGAGTGATCCAGCTCTCAGATTTAATCAAAAATATATTAATTTGTGTTACGAAGATTAACGAAAATCTTACGGGGAACAACATGAGGGAGAGTAATTACTGACAGAGTTTTCATTTTTAGATTTTTTTTATTTTTATTTGTTTTTTTTTTATTTAAAAGGGACAATGCATATTAATGAACATCTTAGCTTTTCAGCAATGTAAATATGCCAGAATTAGCCCCAGGGCTACTTTACATCTGCAGTCCCCTGTCAGGTCATCACAGTATCAAATAACAAGGCTAACATTTAAATTTAAGTATGATGCTACACAGTTTAGAGGACACCTTAATATTCAAATAACATATTACAAGAGACACCACTATTTTCAGACAGGTTACACATACACATACAATAAAGTGCTATTCTATGTACTTTAGGTACATTGCAATTATGCTAAAATACTAAAAATTACAATAGAGTGCTGGATCTAGTTTGGTATACATACAAATACTTAGACAATACTACAGTGATCTTATCCATATACCTCGATTTGCAAAAAATTTAGTTAATGGTCACAATTTTAATGTGTCTTGAGCCATTGTTTAAGTTGGTTCTTAAAACTGGGGTACGTCGGACATTCTCTAATAACAACCGGTAATTTGTTCCAAATCTCTGACCCCTTAATTGACAACACATATTGTCCAAATGTTGTACGCCTGAACTAACCCCTTAAGCTCATTCTTAGCAGTCTTCTTGTGAGTAAATCTCAGAGGCTTGATAAATACGGACCCAGTTCAGTTTATATATTATTCTCATGCCCTTCGTCTCGCATTTTTGATTGCAAAAACGCATTCTGTCTGAACCAGGCTTTATGATGCGATGCGTGTGTTTTCTGTCTTCCAGATCTCCGCCACGCCGTATTACACCTTCTGTTACGACACCGTCCAGTCAGACGAAGAAGACAACAGCATCCTCATCTCTGATAAAGCTCTGCGTCACACGGTCCTCACTGACGCCCTCGTTTCCACATTCCCCCCCAGTCAGTCAGACTCCAAACACACGATCAGTGTGAGTACTCAAACCTGACACGGTGAAGATCACATGACTGAACCTGTTACCTGTCGCACGCTTTTTACACATACATCTGAACTTAAAGGGATACTCCACCCAAAAATGAAAATCCTCTCATCAATTACTCACCCTCAAGTTGTTCCAAAGCTGGGTGAGTTTTATTTCTTCTGTTGAACACGAAAGAAAATATTTTGAAGAATGTTTATAACCAGACTGTTGATGGATTATTGTATTATTAGTATTACTATTATTACCATAGTATTATTTTTTCCGACTATGGAAGTCAGTGGGGTCCATCAACTGCCTGGTTAACCATATTCTTCAAAAATGAAGTAATGAATAAAGGTTTAGAACAACATTAGAGTGAGTAAAACATTTTTTTTTGGGAGATCTATCCCTTTAAAGGGATACTCCACTTTTTTTGGAAATAGGCTCATTTTACAACTCCCCCAGAGTTAAACTGTTGAGTTTTACCGTTTTTGAATCCATTCAGCCGATCTCCGGTTCTGGCGGTACCACTTTTAGCATAGCTTAGCATACATCATTGAAGTGGACAAGACCATTAGCATTTAAAAAAAAAAAAAATGACCAAAGAGTTTTGATATTTTTCCTATTTAAAACTTGACTCTTCTGTAGTTACATCGTGCACTAAGACCGACGGAAAATGTAAAGTTGCGATTTTCTAGGCTGATATGGCTAGGAACTATACTCTCATTCCTGCGTAATAATCAAGAAACTTCACTGCCGTACCATGAGTGCAGCAGGCGTAATGATATGACGCAGCGCCTGAAAATAGTTCCGTTGTGTTGAAGGAAGGTGGCCTATTTTCAGGCGCTGCGTCATATCATTACGCCTGCTGCTCTCATGGTACGGCAGTGAAGTTTCTTGATTATTGCTAATGGTCTTGTCCACTTCAATGATGTATGCTAAGCTATGCTAAAAGTGGTACCGCCAGAACCGGAGATCGGCTGAATGGATTCAAAAACGGTAAAACTCAACAGTTTAACTCTGGGGGAGTTGTAAAATGAGCCTATATCCAAAAAAAGTGGAGTATCCCTTTAAGAACAAGCGGCAGCATGTTTACTGTTTGGCTACTGTCACTTTAAGACCAGCACGCATACAGACACTCATCAGATTTTCACTTTAGACATAACCAACTGTGTATTTGACAGTATTAGCGCAATAAGACTCGAAAGATAACTTAGTCCAGTATTCAGGCGCTGTTTGACAGGCTGTTAGTGCATGTGCGCTCAGAAAAGCGCATGCTAGAACAGCGCATCAGCACGCTAATGACATGTTTAACCAGCAAGACTTTAAAGCACATGCAAATAATGAACTTTTGTGAATTGCAGTGTCCCGTGAGTGTAACTCTACCTCTGCATTTACATGTGATGTGAATGTACGTCGCGTTGAAGAGTATGTTGAGATGAAGGCACCAGAACTGAACTGATTTACTGTGCACTGTAGCACGATACTATGATCTCTCTACAAAAGCAGATCGTGGAGACTTTTTTTAATCATCCACGATCAAAAATCGTGATATCGCACACCCTTATGCCTAGTTCACACTACAGGATTTAAGCCTGATTTGCAAGTTAACGAGCTCGCGACAGCTCGGCTGCAATCGCGTGTAAATCTGCGGGTGATCCGCACTCCCCAATCTTTATGTGTGAAATACTAAACAACGCATCAAAAACGCTCGCCGACGCCAGACAAATATCCAGCATGCTAAATATCTGGAGCTGTCGGCCGACCGGTAGCCTGTGGTGTCACGTGTCACGACGAGCAACAGCCAATGATCAGCTTGTTATCACATGATTACACAAGCATTTTGTATTTGTAACCATCGTTGCCAAACCACAACACGAGCAGGCTCTGCTTTTCCATTATAAACATGTTTTACTCTCCTCTAACGCTCCCTGTAGCTCAGACGATCCCTGCTGCCCGCGTGTGTTATCATCCTTTCACCCATAATCGCTTTCTTTTTTTTTTTTTTTACCTCCAATTTTGTCCCGGCGTCCTTTTTCAAATAGAAACTCCTGTTTCGCGTCATTTCCCATTCCCCTTCTCACGTGTGTTTTTGTGACAAACGTGGTTTGTGGAGCGGATCGAGTCGTTGGGTGACAGATGTCGTCAGCTTGTGTAGTGTGTGTGTCTGTTGCAGATCGTTTACGTAGTGTGAACACCACAACGACTTCAAGACTCCAGAGCAAGTCATGTAGTCTAAAGCCTAGTTCACACTACATGATTTTAAAACGTCGGCTGAACTGTGCGGTTCACACTATATGACTTGCTCTTTGTGAAATCAGGAGTGTTCAAGTTGTTGAGCTGTTCAGACCACACGACACACCGTGATTGATCCGCAACAGGGGGTAACGCACTACACGCGTTGACAACAACTCTGTCACCCAACGATTCTATCTTGTCTACAAACCACGTTTTGTCACGAAAAATCACGTGATAAAACGAACCGGAAATGACACGAAACAGCACGCGCGCCAATACCCAGCGAAGAAGACGAAGAACACAACACGCGAATATGGACGTCAGACAGAAACTAGTGCTGCAAACTGTTTGCGCGATGATTTGCTCTGAGAAAAAACGCAAAAAAAGAAAAAATAAGATTTACCCGGTGACCTCAACCCATGCCTTGCTCTGATTGGCTGTAGCTCATGACATCACGTGAGGTTGAGTTGTGCCACAGCTCTGGATATCTAGCATGCATGCGTTCTTGGCTCTTTCATATTAACAGATTGGCGAGCGTTCATCGCCCGCTAATCCCCCGCGATTTGCACGCGATAACACCCTGACCTGTCGGCGAGCTCAACGATTTGAAATCAACTTAAAATCATGTAGTGTGAACTAGGCATAAACATCACAGCGATCTGCCGACGTTAAAGTTGTGTAGTGGGAACTAGGCACAAGTTGTAATTCATGAATAGTTTGGAATACTGACATAAAGTTGGTCTCTGTTTTTCAAAAGACACTCATCGGATTATTGCTGTAAAAATGAAAGTGTAAAAAAGTGCTCTAGCGAAACTATTGCGTTCCCCTGAGAAACTTTGCATTTGCTTGTGAAGAACTCAGAGTTTCTCGAGGGAACGCAAAAGCATTGAAATATAATTTTTCCATCACCATGTCCCTTTAGGGGCTCCATAATATCACAATAATTGTGGTTCCTATAAGATTTTGTTTAGGCTCTATACCAAAAATAACTTCTATAGTGGTGGTGAACAGACACGACAACAAATGTGATTTTTTGCGTTCCCATTTGCTTCAATAGCAAAAGAAAGAAAACATGATAGAGTTTCTATAACTTGCTAAAAAATATTGCAAGATGCATTGTTAATCAGAATAGAAAAAGATTTAAAATTTGTCATCACTCCTTCAGCCGATTGTATTAGAAACACTCACACAGCACTAGTTTTGAACTAGTTTACTGTAATTTAATGCTAATGTAATATAACACTAAGTATAGCTTTATGTTTGTACATTGATTTAAATCATTTTTTAAAGGTAACACTTTAAAATAAGGTTCATTAGTTAACATTAGTTAATGTATTACCTATCAATGAGCAATACATTTGTTACTGTATTAGTTAATCTTTGTTAACGTTAGTTAATAAAAATACAGTCATTCATTGTTTGTTCATGTTAGTTCATTAACAAATTTTAACAAGCACAACCTTTGATTTTTAATAACGTATTAGTACATGTTGAAATGAATATCAACTAAGATTATTAATAGAAGTTTTGTTCATTCTTAGTTCATGTTAACTAATGAACCTTTTTGTAAAGTGTTACCAAATTAAAATATGAAAATTTCTTGGTTAGATTTACGATGTTAATATAAATGGTGTGAAATGTGAGCATGTTTATGTCTCCATCAGAACACAGAGCAAGTCAGAGAGCGTTTATGGGACGATCACTTCACTGAGTTTGGTCGTGGCGTTCACATGTTTCGCACAGATAAGATCCGCACGCTGGTGACGCTGGGCATCCCGGAGTCTCTGCGCGGCGAACTCTGGCTCCATTTCTCAGGTGAGAGAGAAAGAGAAGTTGATCGGATTAGACCTAGACACACAACACCATGGAAGTGACTTTCTTTTGTTCTGTTTATAGTCACTCTATACTTGTGTGTCTGTGCAGCGTCTCACTTCCCCTTCTGTAGAAGTGTTCATATAAACACTCACACAGTTTTATTACATGCAGCACGATCACCTCGTTTCATGGATTATTCATTTTGTCAAATAATTGCATTCAAAAATAGCATGAAAAATGCACATAACTCAAGTAGTCATTAATATTCCTCTGCAAATGTGTCCTATGCATCAAAATTCACTGTTTTTAATTCTTATTTTAATCAACTGTTTTTATCCAGGGAACGAAAAGCAGGTCCCAGGCACTCAGTCAAGTTTTCAGATAAAGTTAAAAAGCCTTTATTTAGTATGGCTTAAATCATTTTAAAAGTACACGAGCCAACATGTTTCGACCAACAAGTGGTCTTCTTCAGGGCAAAGTAACAGAAAATATGAGAATGACAACAAATTATAAATTATGTCCCACATATAATCAGAAAGAATTCATTTAACCTAATAAGGGCTAATACAATCAATTAACCCAATAAAGCAATCAGGTCTAACAGGATAGGGGAAACCAACATAATGAGTACCACAGCAGGTGAAACTAACAAAGAAACAATAAAGAAAAAACAATAAGGAAAATATCTCCAAATATCTCACTTGACTGAGTGCCTGGGACCTGCTTTTCGTTTCTTTGGATCTTTTCCCCACCCCAAGAGCACCTATCACGGATTTTATAACTTTACCTGAGCGCCTGGTTGAACCTTTTACAGTTCATTGTTGTTATCCAGGATTGATACGGTCTCCGAAAACCTGAATATGTGGAAGCCTGGAAAAGTTATGGAAATAAATGAAATCTTAATACACCATGGGCATTTTTGTTACAAATATAAAAAAATTTTTGCTCTCAATTGGGTAGAAATGGTGCAAAAAAAATATTTGTATCTTTATTCAGTAAATCACGACTGACCAGAAAAGTTATTTAAATTCAATGTTCAAAAAGAGTGGGAAGAACATTCAGGTCTTAAAACTGGAATTCTGAAATAGATTAAAATTGAACAAACTTGTCTAATTATGGCCATTAAACTTGCTTAATTTGATATTAAAATAGATTTCTGTTCAGATTCAAATTTAATCTGATATTTATTAGCACATAAATTATGTTGTGATTTTGTTCCTCATATTTTTGCTTCAGTGATTAATGTGAGGAATATTCCTCCACAGAGTTCTGGAGAACAAAACTAGTTATTTTTAGATGAACGTTTAGTTAATTCTCATAATAAATTTGAGGAAATCAATGATGCAAACCATCAAATATGAGACAAATTCTGCTGTAAAGCAGCTCTAAAAAGACAAGTGTCATTATTCAATTCTATGTTGATTCAGTTCAATAATAGTGCAGAGTTCATCAAATAATGAACAAAGTTGTCTTTAGTGCACTGTTTGTATTTGTCTATGATTTGAATTACAACCTCATCTTTGTTTTACTTTTCGTTTTACATTTACTTTGATTTGGCGATTTAATCTGTGTGTGTAACGTCCCACAGACGCGAGTTCCTCGCTGGCCGCTCATCCACACTACTACGCTGATCTGCTGGAGAAATGCAGGGGCGAAACGAACATCGCTACAGAGGAGATAGAGCGAGATCTTCATCGTTCGCTCCCGGAGCATCCGGCGTTTCAGAACGACACGGGAATCTCTGCCCTGCGCCGAGTCCTCACCGCCTACGCCTACCGAAACCCCGCCATCGGGTACTGTCAGGTGAGGTCCACCAGCAGAGCACTGATATTTGGCCAGTTTGAGAGAAACCGGCCCACTTGAAATCAGTGTTGGGGGAAACTCATACGTTATCAGATTACTTTTTCAAGTAACTAGTAAAGTAACGCATTACATGAATCCAAGTTATTTCACTTTTGGTGTGTAAGGGTGTTTACATTTAGCCTGGCTCCGCCCTCTTACGTACTTCCGCTCAAATGTCATTTTCCTTCAGTACTACGTCTGGGTTTGCTGTATATTCTTTGGTTTTCTCCGGTCAATTTTTTACCGGGCCAATCAGCGAACAGAGGGAGTGGCTGAGAACGATGACGATGATGTCGTGCGCTAGTTTGAGTCGTCATACGTCACGACCAAACGTTAGCGATTGGTTATGGCAGATCCAATAGTTTTATGGCGCTTTTCCACTGCTGGTACGGCTCGGTTCGGCTCGCTTCGCTTTTCCACTGTGTGGTACGACTCGGCACGGTTCGGTTCGGTTTGCTTTTCCACTGCAGTTAGTACCGCTTCAAAGTGTGTGGGATTATAGTCTGACCGTTATAGTTTATCCGCTCCTCCAACCAACGAGAGGAACGTCTGCACTTCGTCCACTGACCACGATTCAGCCATTTCTTTTTTGGAAGTTTTCTTTCTTTCTTTTTTCTTCAAGCGAGTAGTTTTAAAGCAGGTGCTACAGCGGTGGCTGTTACTGGCTATTTAAATCTAGCGGGTTTGATGTCTCGTAAATACAATGACGCTGGTAGTGACGATTCTGTCTGACCAATCAGTGATTTGCAGTGTGTTCACGTCACATTTTAGTATCGGTACGGTACGCTTGAAACCTCAACAGAGGTGGTACCATTTAAAGCGAGCCGAGCCGTACCGTACCATGCAGTGGAAAAGCGCCATTAGACTTCAACAGAGGACCCGTAACGCTTGTCAATGGAGCGAGGCCAGACTCTATGTACAAATGAAATGTACGAGAGTCTGGTGGGACCAGGCTACTTTACATTTGTCCAAAAATATAACTTTTTTGTTATAAAAAAACAAGCCCAGGTGGAATAAAAAGTAACCTAACGCATTACTATTCTACAAAAGTAACTAAGTAACGCAATTAGTTACTTTTTAAGGGAGTAACGCAATATTGTAATGCATTACTTTTCAAAGTATGAGTTCGATCAGTAGATCACTGATATTTGGCCAGTTTGAGAGAAACGTGCCCACTTGAAATCAGTGTTGGGGTGTTACTCATTACAAGTAACTTGAGTTACGTAATCAGATTACTTTTTCAAGTAACTAGTAAAGTAACTCATTACATTAATCCAAGTTATTTCACTTTTGGTGTGAAAGGGTCTTTACATTTGCCCAAAAATATAACTTTTTTTGTATAAAAAAACAAGCCCAGCCCAGGTGGGAAAAAAAGTAACGCAAAAGTAACGTAACGCATTACTATTCTACAAAAATAACTAAGTAACACAATTAGTTACTTTTTAAGGGAGTAACGCAATATTGTAATGCATTACTTTTCAAAGTATGAGTTCACCAGCGGATACTGTCAGCTGAGTTTGATCATAGATCACTGATATTTGGCCAGTTTGAGAGAAACCTGCCCACCTGAAATGCTTTGTAATGATGTTACATAAACGTTGTGGATTAAAGGCCCACTGAAGTGTCTTGGTACGCGGAGCTTTGTTTGATGCGTTGAGGTAATTTCCACTGAAACAGGAAGCAAAGGCGGGACATATCGAATGGCTCCTCCCCCTTTTCAAATAGCCAATAGTGTTTAGTTTACCTCACAAACTGCGAGTCGAGCGAATCCGAGCGCTGATGAAATGTTGGATTCAATAGTAGAACTGTGAATAAATTCTAGCTATTTAATTCTTAATCAGCGTACAGTTGGAAAACTGAATAAAACTCGAGCGTTTGAGCAACCGAACACACATCTCCAACACACATCGCTCCGTGGCGTGTCATTGGTTGCTTTGGCCAGGTGGTGTTTATAGCAGAGGGGGCGGAGCTTTAGATTTTAGAGAGCATTTGATTGGACTGAAGATGTGATGAGAAGCTTAAGTGAGAGATTGTAAGTTTTGAATGCTTATATCTCCTAAATGTGAATTTTGTCATTGTTTTAAAGCACACTAGCTTATTCATAACCTTCATGCTAACATAATCATACTAAAAGCTAAAAAACGTACATTTTGATTTCAGGGGGCCTTTAACTATGCTTTGTTTTGCGTGTTTGTGTTAGCACTGATGTTTGTCTTCTCTGTAGTCCATGAACATCTTGGCATCTGTGATGCTCTTGTACACCAAAGAAGAAGAAGCTTTCTGGCTGCTGGTCACTGTGTGTGAGCGGATGCTGCCCGACTACTTCAACCGCAGAGTCATCGGTGTGTGTGTGTGTGTGTGTGTGTTTAATATCACGCTGTTTTACTTCTAAATGTCTTTGCTGCTTTGCTCTCCCTCAGTTTTTTACAGTAGGATGTTGTAAATGTTTTTGAAATGTTTTGAACTGATTCAGATTAGTCAAGTCAGTCTCGCAAAAACTTGTCCAGATCAATTTCAGTAAACAGGGTTTTATAGTTAACTAAAACTAATTTTTTTTTTTTTTTTTTACTTAAAATAAATTAAAATTAACTTATATAAAAATTTAACTTGAAATACAATTTACTGAAATAAAATATATTTTGATTTATTTATTTTATTTCAGCTAGTTGCCAAATAAAAATTTCTAATGTTCATTTAGTTGATGTACTAAAAATACTAAAATGAAATTAATAAAAACTATAAAGACCTGTTACTAAAAAAAGACTAAAAAAGATTAAGAAACAGGTTTTTAAAGGTAACTAAAACTAAATGAAATAAAAATTTGATGATTAAATAAAATGAACTTAAAAAAAATATTATAAAATTAAATGTATTTTATTTTAGCTAGCTGCCAAATAAACATTTCTCATTTTCATTTAGTTGATGTACTAGAAATACTAAAATAAAATGAATAAACACTGTAACGACCTATTACTAAAAAAGACAAAAATTAAAAAACTAAAAAACAAATAGTAAAAACATAACAAAATTACTAAAATGTTAACTTAAAATGAGAACTAAAAAGAATAAAATAACATTTATGTATTTAGTATACAGAGCCTAAGCCCCTCCCCTTCCGGTCGACCACCATGGGACCTTATTTCGGAAAAATATTGTATGGTAGTCAATGGCGAGAGACAACAAATATTTTGATCTCGTTTGAATTGTGCCCTGAATTACACATATGATGTTTGTCAATTTAAAAGATACATTTTACAGTCAAGAAAGTCGCAGTTTGATGTAAAACTGTTGAGGTATAAGACTGTGAAAATACGTGATTACAAAGACTACAAACCCCAAAGGCGCACATTTTCTCTCAATGAATGAAGCTAACTTTACTGAAGCTAACTTTACTGAAGTTAACTTTACTGAAGCTAACTTTACTGATGCTAACTTTACTGATGCTAACTTTACTGAAGCTAACCTTACTGAAGCTAACTTTACTGATGCTAACTTTACTGAAGTTAACTTTACTGAAGCTAACTTTACTGAAGCTAACTTTACTGAAGCCAACTTTATTGAAGCTAACTTTACTGAAGCTAACTTTACTGAAGCTAACTTTACTGAAGCCAACTTTACTGAAGCTAACTTTACTGATGCTAACTTTACTGAAGCTAACTTTACTGAAGCCAACTTTACTGAAGCCAACTTTACTGAAGCTAACCTTACTGAAGCTAACCTTACTGAAGCCAACTTTACTGAAGCTAACTTTACTGAAGCTAACTTTACTGAAGCTAACTTTACTGAAGCTAACTTTACTGAAGCCAACTTTACTGAAGCTAACTTTACTGAAGCCAACTTTACTGAAGCCAACTTTACTGAAGCTAACTTTACTGAAGCTAACTTTACTGAAGCTAAATTTACTGAAGCTAACTTTACTGAAGCTAACTTCTTTACTGAAGCTAACTTTACTGAAGCTAACTTCTTTACTGAAGCTTACTTTACTGATGCTAACTTTACTGAAGCCAACTTTACTGATGCCAACTTTACTGATGCTAACTTTACTGATGTTAACTTTACTGATGCTAACTTTACTGATGCTAACTTTACTGAAGCTAACTTTACTGAAGCTAACTTTACTGAAGCTAACTTTACTGAAGCTAACTTTACTGAAGCTAACGTCTGTCATTGTTTCTATAGTCTTACGTTATAATCGTAACGTTACGCCGTCATCGAGTGTTTTGTACCAGACTGCACACACACACGAGCAGCGGATCTCGCTCGTTGTTTCGCTTCCCCGGAGATGTAGTTCATCGAGCGATTTTCACATAAAACTAAATGTTACTCTTCTGTTTCATGACAAACTGCGACTTTCTTGACTTTTATAATTTTCTTTTAAATTGACAAACATCATATGTGTAATTCAGGGCACAGTTCAGACGGAATAAAAGATAAGTTGTCTCTCGCCATCGACTACCATACATATTTTTTTCCGAAATAAGGTCCCATGAGCCGGAAGCGGAGGGGAGGGGCTTAGGCTCTCTATAATAGTGTCCCAATGATACTAATATAATACTGTTCAGAAATCAAAAGGGGAAAAAGTGCTGTTCTGCATTTGCTAAGAAGTGCTTCTCCACTAGAGGGCCTCAAGAGGACTGAACATAAGACAATAAGCATTCGCCCTCACACACACTGTTTCTGTCTTTGAAGCACCAGGACTCGTACAGTCTTTTTTTTTTTTATAATTAGTATTTTATTGAGTTTTGAACACAACTGTTATATTGTAATCAACATTACAGTTGACATCTTAACATATATCCTATAGTGATGACCAGTGTTGTGTGTAACGCGTTACAGTAACGTAACTACTTTTTCGCGTAAAAAGTAGTGTAACGCGTTACTACTGAAAATTTGGTAACGAAACGTAGTTCCTTTTTCAATTCCGCACAACGTTACTTTTCCCATGGACAGATTTGACAGCAACACTGTCTCCTCAGCTGTGCGCTTGCAATAGTCACAAGCTCCACATGGTACGTGACAGAGGCTGGTAGCAGAGCAATCAATTCTGTGAATTACACTGCGCAAACCAAAAGTAATACTCCCACCGGATGAAGAAGGGTTGGCTCTCCACAGAACATAAAATATTAATTTTATTGAATTTTTCGTGTTCGCATTTATGAGGAAAGAAACAATGTTGTGGACGTAACAGTTCTTCGGACTTGACCGCTCTGAAAGCGGCACTAAAAGACTGCTTTAAATCTTTCACAGAGACCTCAAACAGGCATTTAAAACACCAAATATTAAGGATTGGCATATTAAGCAAAATAATATTCGATGATTGGTCGAAAATCGTACCTCTACCCCCACATGCTTACAGTAAGACGGCGTTCGCTCAAATCCCGCTCCGATATTAAATTTCTCTGTATAGACCTACGTGTTGTAGCCTAGTCATTAAAGAAAACGATTTAGTTTCATATTTATGTTTAAATAAAATAATTTATTTTTTAATTTCATCAATGTTGATTATATGAAAAGTGAAAAGCATGAGTAAGAGCATAAGATGCGCAATCGGGAGACAAATGGAGTGGGCAGACATGATTTTGACCACTTCATTAAGTTTGTTTTTGTAGAAAGCCTTTCTTTAAAGTGAATTTAGTTTTGTATTAATTGTATCTTAATTTTAATCAATGTTTCATCAACCAATTGTCTTTAATAAATAAGCAGTAAATATAGCAGGCAATATTATCAGGACTTCTCAGGAGCTCCGTGCCGGCGCGTGGACTGAGCTCGTCTCATAAATGAACCAAAAACTTAGCGCAAGCTACTTGCCTCAAAGATCTGAGAAATATATAGAAAGCTTGAAATGTGTACTTTAAAACAAAACTATTCAAAACGAGAGAAAACAGACTACTCTCTGTAGCCTAATCCATATGAAATGTGCATTTCTCTCTGGCGCGTTCACTACTGTGAAGATCGCGAGTCAGCATCGTCAACTTTATCTTTGCAGCCGACACTGACTGACAAAGAAAACACTTGTTTATTAATAAACAATTGAAATGTCTCCTTGCTATATTTGATATTCATAATCATTTCTTTTGCCGGTTCTTTGTGACATTTTTCATGAACGCGTCACCACCGCTCAATAGTTAATATTGTTCTTTGGTGTTCAGTTTATACAGGTTTTTCAAATGTTATTTAAATAAATATATATTTTTTTTCTATCTCAAAATCTCTCTTTTTTTTCTAGTTTTTTCTTCTAGTTTTTCAATAAGTAGAGTTCATAGTAGAATTTTATATAGGCCTACACATTTAGGAACAGATATTGGGTTCTGCCCAAAGTCAAGCAACATAAAAGTAACGTAAAAGTAACGAGTAACATAAAAAGTTACTTTCCAAAGGGGGTAACTAAGTAAAGTAACGGATTACTTTTTTAAGAAGTAACGAGTAACGAGAAAACACTACTTTTTAAAAGTAACTTCCCCAACACTGGTGATGACTGATGATACATTTTTGAATAAATAATAATACAATTAAATTAAATTACAAAAAAACTAAAATGATTAATCCAGAAGAGGTGATAGAAATAAGTAAAAAGCGGGGGGGGAAAAAGAAAACAACAACAACACATGAATCAAATGAACAGTTTTATCTGGTAGCAATATATTGCACATATTTTCCGTATTCGTACAGTCTTGGAAAACATATAAGAGGAAGCCTGGAGAAGTTATGGAAATTTATTAAAGGAGTAGTTCACTTTTTAAAAAACTTTTGCTGATAATTTACTCACCCCCATGTCATCCAAGATGTCCATGTCTTTCTTTCTTCAGTCGAAAAGAAATTAATGTTTTTGATGAAAACATTCCAGGATTTTTCTCCATATAATGGACTTCAATGGGAGCCAAACGGTTTAAGGTCTAAATGACCGTTTCAGTGCAGCTTCAAAGGGCTTTAAACGATACCAGACGATGAATAAGGGTCTTATCTAGCGAAACGATCTGTCATTTCAAAAATAAATAAAAAAGTTAAAGTTTTATAGGCACAAATGCTCGCCTTGCGAACTCTCCTGTTCGAACTCGTTCATCAAAATGAACGAATCTTTTTTCGAGTCAATGGCTCGTTCATCAAAATGAGTTCTTGTCTGTACTTGTGTTCTTGTGGACTTGTGAAACGTCATCAGTCACTGCCCAATAGGGTTGGGTACCGAAACTCGGTGCCAATAGGGAACCGGTTCCGACGTAAACGGTAGTAACCAGACCGAATAAGAACGACAATTTCGGTGCCTGATTTCGGTGCCTGACTTAATTAGGCACACACGCACACACACACATGCACAGTCTCCTCTGTCTCCCATGCGCGCTCTTGCTCGCAAGGTTTGGCTGCATTTCACGTGTAAAATTACGCGTCAGAACGCCCTCTGGGTGTGCCGATAGTCTGAATCCATATAGAATCAAGCCAATTCATTGGCTGATGGCGCGGGCGCCGCCTCGACGCACTTACGTCGTCATATTATGTTGGCGCGCGCGCGCCATCTGCTCCTCGGATTTCTTTGCCGAAAAAGGAAGCTGGTCGGCAGCGCAAGGAGCTTGGCAGCGTCTCGTTCCCTATTGAGAGAACATAGGTTACACCAGTAACCAGAGATGTTCTCTTTCATAGGTTCACTCAACGCTGCGTAGCTAAGAAGCAGTGGATTTGTATTTGTAGGCTGTTGTATCACGTGCCGTTTGAACTGACGCGCTACAGCGATCTGTCACATTTCAAAGAGCCAAAACGTTATTTATTGTGTGAATCTCGTAAAAATATTGACAGAATCTGACAGCTGTGGATTTGTTCCATATCAAAAGTAACCTTGTCTGTCGGTGTCAGTGTCCTCTTTGTCCGCGATTTTTCTCTGCGTGAGAAAATGGATGTGTGGCGTGCATGAGAGCGTGTGAAAAGGGTCATTTGCGTGAGTCTCACGGTCAATGCGTGAGAGTTGGCAGCTCTGCCTGCTAGTAATCTCTATTAATCTCCAGTATTATTACATTGTTTGATACAATATTGTTTTATTTGATATTATGTAAATGTGAATTTCTATTTTATATTGGTTTTATTATTATTTGTATTTATATTGTTTAAAGATTTAAGGTAATATTGTGTCCAGTTTGGCCTTGTAAATAAAAGGGTATTATTTTTTGATAAAGTGTGTGCGGTTTCGTTTTCTTAAGTACCGTTTCAAGAACCGTTTAAGCACCGGAACCGTTTAAAAAATACCGAGTAGGTACTGGTATCGGATAAAACCCAACCGATACCCAACCCTACTGCCCAAGTACTGTTCCAATTCAAAGTTCACATCTAGCCAAGTCCAGTTCAAATCCCCGGATGTGTTCTTGATCCGCCCCATTTACCGAGGATGCATCGAGAGGTGACTTGTGCGGACTTGAGACAGCCAGGTATCCCAGAATGCATCTCGCACCAACCAGCAAGCGTCAATAGCAGAGGAGAAAACCCACGTAATATCAAAATACTGCTGTTATTGTGTCATGAAATGTAATTTTAAGAGTGTTTCAGGCGAGAATGTGGTTGTTTAAAGCTCAAATCTGTGGTTTATTTATAAAGATAGCGCCTTTTTGAAAAATGTCTCTGACGTTTTCGGAGTTGTGACATCCAGGCGTTCACCGCGGGTGTTCAACGCTCATCAACCCCGACTGGAACAGCTTTTCCTCGGCTAGTGCTTGACGTTTGCCGCTGGCTCTGATGTCTCTAGTCTAGTGGATAAACTTGACGTATAATTCGTCTTGTGTATAAGTCGATCTTTGGTCTCATTAAACTATTGTTTGTTCCATGGCAAAAAATCGTTTTGACTGAGGGCAAAGTGAAGTTTCATAACTTTATATATTTAGGCTATTTAACTTTAACTTTGTAGCCTATTAGAGATTGAATTGTTTGCCTTATCATTGTAGATATTATTGATCATTAAAACTGACATTTAACAAAAAGAGACAGGGTTGTGTAATTTTATTTTATATAGGCTACTTTAAAATATATATATATTTTTATATTTATTTTAATATTCTCTTCACTTGTAGGCTACAATAA